CCTGAGAGTAACTGAGCAAGCTCATCTCAGATGGACCAACAGACTAATTTGTAGTCTGCAGAAGGAGAGAAGGAAATGGTTTTGTAGTAAGTAACATATTATCTGTGGTAACCAGAGGGAGTGTGCTGCAAGCAGAGGGGACTGAGTAAAAAACCACTGTTTTTCTACACAGTCATCGAAGGGTAGACTTGATTTTCAGGTTTTCTATTCTTTTCACTCTCATTATGTTTTGGTAGTCTCAGTCTTAGCTGTTTAATTACTTGTGCTGAAAATCCATTATCTTTGAAAATTATCTCACCCTCTAAACCCCACTTCTTGGAGTGGAGTGTCCTGGAAGTTTTAAAAGAAAAGCTCAGACAATTGCTGCTCAGGCCCTGAAGCTGTGTCTGTATTGCTAGGTCTGTTAGTCAAATAATCCAGAATGGCTTAGAGCAAGTTAATAAATATTTCAAAAACAACAGAAGAATATTTTTATTTATGTTGCTGTTTGCAAACATATTAAAGAATTGTTCAGTGTCTGTCACAGACAACAGTATGCACTTTAGAAGAGTAGAAGAAAGGGTAGCATCATCTTTAGTTTGGGGAAAAGCTTCAGGGAGAAGTGGAGAAAATCCTTCTTCTTTGACTCTTCATAAAAGAAACAGAATTTCGCAACTGTACTTTTTCTTTTCTAATCAGCCTTTCCATACACATAGTGCTTGTGGGATTTTGTTAACTGACTTATTGTTTCATCAGACTTCTAATAAATTTTTTTAATAATAATTTGTCTTATTTCTGTTTTCATGTTGTGGAGTTCTTGACCTTGCTATTCTTTGTGGCTAGGTCTTAAATTTACAAGAAGTTAGACCATAATAGCTAAGCTATATTCAATAATGTTGAAAAATATTGTCTGCCACTTAGTTCAAAAAGCTGTTATAGTTTAAAAAGTTGTTATAGTATCTGTCCAGTTGTTGAAAACAATGAAGAAGTAGCTCAACAAATAAGATACTGAACTCCACAGTGTTTGCTTTGAAACCAGTGTGGATGTTTTTACCATCTTGGCTGATGGTAAACTGGATTTGATAAAACTAGATTTCCACTTTCCCAAACTCAATTTGGGAAAAACATCAACAGTGTCCCTCACATGCTTTTCATTCACTTGGACTAACCCTAATTTCCAGCAGTCAGGGTACCTTTATCTGGAATAGCAGCAGTTTTTTTAACATCATATTTACCTTGACTTCCCATGTTGTCCCTTCTAAAAATTTCCAGGTGATTTTGGGTAGGAAACCAACATGTACTTTAACATTGTTATCTTCCCTATACTGGCAGTCTGGATAAAGAGCTAAGGACATCTTTTGGACAGCCTTTCCCTCTTCTGTCTGTGACAGTGGTCATTGCATTCTACCAGTGCTCTTGAGTGATGGCTGAGCCAAAAATTTCTACTACTTACCAAACTTAAGTATTTTGCTTATGGGCTTTTAAGGCTTAAACATAGACTTTTAGTCCTCAGATGTTTTAGTGCCTCTGCCAATTTCTACAATTGCAGCAGCTGAATAATAAATCAAACTGACCTGTGAATACACAGGAAAGGTTCTTTGCCTTGTGTCGCATAATTACTCTTTAAGTAGTTCCTGGGAGATGCCCATCTTAAAGAAAAAAATAACAAAGAACCCACAAAAGCAGCACAAACAACTTAAACTTTTGTTAACTTGATCAAACTTTGAACTTTGCCAAGTTTTTTCTTTTTTTTTTTTAAGTTCAGTAGAAGAGGAAATGAAATACAATGTAACATATAGCAGTATTAAAATACAACAGAATAAAGATCTTTGAGGCTTAGTTAAGCATTATCTCTTTGTTTTGGAGATTTTTTTCTGATAGTGACAGCTGAAGTTCAACCTTGAGAGAAAGAATAAAAGCCGAACTACAAAGATGAGTTTTTTTTCTCTGCCACAAAATCAGTTAATGTTGGCATTTTAAAGCAACTGGTAATATGATGAAGAAAAAAGGTAGCATGCACTTCATGTTTACAAGGTACCTGTTCTCTCATTTTAACTCTGATTTTATTAAGATATGCTTTCTATCTGTAACTTACCCCTATGCATTTGTAAGGTTTATATCAGATCTTGTCAACATAAAGTTTTGGAAATGCTGCAACACTACAGTATGAACTTAAACTCTTTAGGATGGCTGCAGTTTTACTGATAATGACATTTTTAATAGATACATGAAGTACTAGTATGGAAATATAATAGATGTGCATAGGAGGTTTGTACTTCTCTGACTACATCTGATATATTTATGATAATCAGGCAGAAGTCAATTGCTTTACACACAGTGGATAATTAATATGTATTAGCAAAACATAGGTTTTCCATTTTGGTTTTCCTTGCACAACTTTGTAGTGCCACAGAAATCTGCTGTTTTTCCAATAGTCATTAAAACAAATCTGAAATTAAGCCTTAAAGGATGAGCTAAAAACTTAGTCTGTAATTTACAAGCCTATACATAACAAAACATGTGCAAAGAAGTGAGGGTCTTTTGTACTGAGTAAAGATTTAGTAGTATGGTCTTAAAAGTTATAAGGCTACACTGGCTCTGGCACCTCAGGCAGCTTACTTTATGTTACAAGGATGCATTGTTGGTTGGAGTGTGCTGAAGTGTTATTGAAAAACCAGGAGAACACACAGAGAGTACAAGAAAGTGTGTTAAAAGCAAGTAGTTAAAACAAATTTATTGAGGAGTCACTGTTTTACCATTACTGTGGTGTAAAGCCCAGTCCAGCTCCAACTCACGCCTGTGCTTCACTTTGGAGTTCTGCTGCTTCTTTCAGAATAAATTCAAATAGGCCCTCTGCATTTATTTCATATCATTTTACATCCCAGTTATTGAGCTACACCACATGACTAGTCTAGAAACAAAATACCTTTCTCAACTGTGCCTCTCACGTGCTGGTTGAGCTGAAATATTTTGTGTTTTCCTTCTCATCTCATTTTTGGAAAGCAATATTACTTTCCTGTATTACTGCTTTCCTTTATAAAAAGATTACTGCACCTCGGTGAAATTTACTAGAATCACTGAACAGTGTGTGAGGATTCATGTATTAATGCTGACATAAATATCAAAAGAGAATTGTGCTTCAATTTGTAATATGGGTTTAGGACACATGTTAAAAAAATTGCAAAAATAAGGCCAATTTTTTAACCCTGTACTGGTGAAAAATCACAAATAGTTCTGGGCGTCGTTTGTTTGTTTGTTTGTTTGTCTGTTTTATTGTAGGCCACTAAGAAAGTTTTAAAGAATTTTATTGGATTAACTTTTATTACCTTTCTAAAAAAATTATCAGTTAATTTACCTACCGATTAAACATCTTCTATGCCTCTCTAAATCATTCTTAATTACAAAGGCTGTTTCCATAGTTACAATTTATATCTTAATTTCATAGTAGATTTCTTTCCATTTATTCAGCTCATTTCATTTATCTACCTTATATTTTATTTGAACTACACATAAACTTCAGAGGTGCTTATCTCTTACAGCTTTTAGGAAGGAAAAACTGTATTAAGGCAGAGATAAAACTGTTTAGTATGCGGCAAGTTCAATTATCATGGATAGACTTCTTTCCTTAATAGAAATACAGGCCTTTGAAGAGGATCTATAAGAAAATAAGCCAAAGAATCAATTAGATTCTCCTAGAATTGAATAAAAAGCCATAAGCAGCATTTAAAATGCATTATAGTTTTTAATAAATAGCCATAATTTTTCCTGTTTGTGAAAAACATGTAAGTCATGAAGGCATTTAAAACATTTCTGAGTAACTTTAATGATCAAAGAAGCCCATAAATATTTTAAATAAAGTTGACAGATGTTGTTCTTTTCCCCTTATTAAGCACATTTCTTCACAGAGGGCAAATATATTTAGCCCAAGAGAGCCAATGGTACCCTGGGCATGACCAGCAGGGTGAGGGAGGGGATGCTGCCCCTCTAAGCCACTCTGGTGACTCCCACCAGTGCTGCATCCAGCTCTGAGATCATCAGTACAGGAAAGGCACGGACCTGTTGAAGCAGGTCCAGTGAAGGGACATGAAGTAAGAGCTTTACTCCCTCAAAAGATGAACAGAATGCTGGAGTAAATCTGCTAGATCAAAACTTTCTAGTCCATAAACATTTAATAGAAATGATCCAGCAGCTCACTTGTGAAAAAAATATTTATTCTATGGCCGCACATGAAACCTTTAAAATCTGCTTCATCCTTTTTGTTACACAGTCATAGCCAAAAGGCTTTAAAGTTTTTTATTTGCTAAGTTTTTATACACTGAGTTCAGCTTTTGGCAGTCCCTGCTGTTTGTTATTGCAATGTTGAATTAGTCAAGCATGCTGGGAAAGAAGAGAAATGCCAAACTTGCAACAAACCTTCAACATTTTAAGTGACAGTTTATGACCAGTCTCATACTTGGCTAGAAAATAGACTGTGAAAACTATTTCCCATCATCCTTCTTAGTTTGAAAGTTGAATTGTTTCCCGGAATATCAAAACCAGCTGAGGCTAACCTTTTATCAATTTGTTGCTTAGTTAGCAGTGCTGAAATTACTACTGTCCTCCAGTATATCTGAAGGAGGGTGCACAACAACTCTTTGGTTGCAAAGTTTAAGGTGTAAATTCTACTTTTTTCCCTTACTATTCAGCCAGTCCATGGGGAAATCCTGTGCCCTGGAACTTAAACTTTAGGAAAGGTACAGACTGAGCATTCACTGCAATCAGCAAACTGGCAAAACTGTGTAGTTACAGGAGTCATATCAATCTAACCATAGCTAGAATGTATTAAAACTGGATCTATAAATGGCATGCTAGATTTTTTTGTTTTTATGGCATTAGGTGACTACATGATGTCAAAAAGGGTTTTCCGCACATTGATTGCAGACAATGCCATTGTGATGTTGTCTAAACTGCTTTAGTTTCCAGCACAGCAAGATGTATTTATTGTCTCTCTCTTCATTTTCCTCTTTATTCAGGTAGTTCATTCTGTGACACATTTATGAGAACTTTCCTTCTTTGAAGTACCTAGATTTTGCTTTAGGATATATCCCAATAAAAGAGTGAAGCAGTCTGATCCCTAAACTGCTTTCTAGACAGCAGGGAGTAAAGGTGAGGCAAAAGATAAATAAAGATCTTTTATTTAAGCTTGGCCAAAGGCAATGAAGAAAAAACAGTGCATGCATATTTTGCTTTCACAGCATCCATGGCATTCTCAGAATTGCACATTTGCCACCATTTCATAATTTTGTGTCAACAGTGATGTGTGTTCTAAAACTTTCTGGAGACAAATGAGGAATTCTTATTGATTATGATGGCTTTTTAAATGCTTGCACTTTCAGTTATTCTTGTGATTACATCATTAAAAGATCATCTCCTTCTCCTGATCTTTCTTTTCCCAAAAGGGAAAAAGAAGTAGGTTTCTCCAAGGTAAAACCCTATAACTGATAACTTTCCTGAGTAAAGCTTTAAAGCAGATATTTTTATTCTTAGATATTCATACTACCATTGTGAGTGTATAACTTATAAGCAAGGTTAAATTCTATTTAATTTCCTCTTCTTTGAGATTTCACTCCCAGACAATTTTTTCTTTTTATTGATAGGATTTGAAAGACATTATATTGAATTGTGTGTTGCATGAAATTTAGGCAACACTCCATACTCTTTACCTTTCTAAATCTAGGTGACTTTCCATAATGAAGAGGCACTCTAAATCATCCTTCTTCATATATCTCCTTTCTGTGTGTTCATGTAATGTGCTGCTTCTTTCTATGGATTCACATAAGAGTGAGTGATGTACTGGCAATGGAGTGTGCCAGTGGCCCAGAAACTACTTATATTGCCTGAGTCACCATCGAACATTGTTTTTATTGACTTGCAGTGAGGCTCTCTGATTGACAAAATGCAAGCTATGTGACTCAAATGTTCCTTAAAATAAAATAATCCAATGGAGGATAATCCATCAAATAGAATATTTACTTTAAATCCTCCAGAACTTGCTTGCTTTTGTTTTGGTTTTAAAATCACTTAAGAAAAATAAGGGAAGAGCAATATTCCAAATTTGTCTCTAGCACTGAAAAAATCCTTAGATTTGATACTGATTTCCATGCATAATAATTATTACAATTCTTTTAATTTTTTTTTTTTTTTTTGCAATGTAGAGTTGAGTTTGAATGTTACATGTGCAATACATATTTATTAAGGTAAGAGCTAGCATCTTGAAATACTTAGACTTGATCTATAGATTTAAAGCTTTCCAGCTTCCTTTTCATTATTGATTTTATGTAAGTGTAGAGTATATGAGCATTTATCTGGTATTCTAATGAAACCGAAAAGGGGACTGGACTAGAGAAAGTAGCAATAGCACATTTGAAATGTTAATATGTGTTGTGGGTTAATCCCTCTGGCAGTTAAAACCCACACAGCTGCTTGCTCACTCCTCCTCCTGTAGGATGTGGGAGAGAATGGGAAGGATAAATGGGACAACTTTTGGGTTAAGGTAAAGATAGCATTTAATAAGGAAAGCAAAGGCTGTGTGTGCATCAAAACAAAACCAGGAATTTATTCACTACTTCACATACTCATATAACCCCAAAATAGAAGGGCTTTATCATCCATAACAGTTAATTAAGGAGGCACATGCCGTAACTCTTAATATACCTCCCTTCCTTCTTTTTCCAGCTTTTATTGCTGAGCATGATGCCATTTGGTGTGTGATATCCCTGGAATGAAGCCTGTCTGCATAAATGGAAGTACTGAACCATGATCCTAAAACAATGTAATTCTCCTAAGGGAAAGAAAGGTCACATCTGTAGCCTCTTCAGCAAACCAGGTGGAGCCAGGTGGGCATCTGAGGTACAAAGTGGCTACTGAGTGTTGGGCATGTCCCTCAGGGTGGGGACAGAGTGTGGCAGGATCCTTGCTTGCAGGAGGTGTGGGCTGGCTCACCAGGGCATGGGGCTGCAGGAGCAGGTATTGAGCCTCAGGGAGGATGAAGGGCTCAGGACCAACACAGAGGCTCTGTGGAGATTAACTCCTTAACCCCCAGCATTGCCCCACAGGCGCAGCCAGAGTCTGGCCCAGGTCCCTGCTGGGCTTCCCTGTACCAGCTAAGCTGCAATGTGTGCCCAGCTGCGCAGGCGGATGGAACAAAGGACCACCTGTCCCAGCTGTGTACTCTTCTAACTTCTTGCACACCCCAAGCCTGCTCTATGATGGGGCAACATAAAAAGCCAAAAAATATGTTGATGGTCTGTAAACATGGTTCAGTTACAGCTAAAATATCAATGTAGCAACAAAATCACTAACAAAGCCAAGCCACTACTACAACAAATGTATAAAGTAAACTAACTTTATCCCATTCAAAACCAGTACAATCCTGCCCATAATATTATGTTTAATGTCTTGCAAGTGCTTGCTTAACCCAGCATAACATTCCCAAAATTTCTACCAATTATGCCTGAAAAATTGCCTTCAGAGGAGGGCAACAAAGCTGGTGAAAGGGCTGGAAAAAATGTCCTGTGAGGAGCAGCTGATGACTCTGAGCTTGTCTAGTGTGAGGAGAAGGAGGCTGAGGGGAACACTTTGCTCTCTGCATCTTCCAGACGAGGGGAAGGGGAGACAGAAGTGCCTGGCTCTGCTCCTTGGTATCCAGTGGCAGGACACATGGCAATGGCTCAAAAAGGGGAGGTTGAGATCAGAGGTTCAGATTAGAGTGCAGGAAACATTTCTTTACCTAGGGAGTGGTCAACCACTGGAACAGGCTTCCTGGAGAGGTGAGTGATACCCCAAGACTGTCAGTGTTGAAGAGGCACTTGTTGAAGAGGCACCCCTAAGTAATGTATGCTGGTCAGCCCTGAAGTGTCAGGCAGTTGGAATATTTAATATCTATAGGTCTTCTCTGGAATTATTAAGTTCTGTTCTGTTCTGTGAGTTCTATGCTTGCAAATGTTACCATTTAGTTTCTCATACAATGTTTTATTATTATTTGTCTGCATTATCAGAATGCTCACAGCACTTATATTCTAAAACAGTTCCCTCTAAATCAGCCTGAGTTATAATTAATGGACATTAAGGCAAAGACAAGTCTGCCTCTTGGGTCTCAGTTTCATCTCTACAGGTCGGCAACACTCACTTCTTCCTGCTCTCTAGGGCTGGAGTGTATGGAATTACATGGTCAGTCCATAAACCACTGGTCTGTGCTACCATCTGATAAAGCAGGACAGGCTCAGGAAGAGAAAGTTTTCAGCAATTCTTTGTTTCTCAGCTTAAGCATGTCTTAATGGTTTCCAAATGTATGCATTTGTAATGAACATGGGGATTTCAGATGACATGAACTCAAGTTCAAACGCTAAACTGCAGTCCCTATACCAAAAGCCAGGTTTATTCTAATGGAGATCTTCAAGTATTTAGCAATCTTCCCTTCTTGTTCCCCCACAGTCAATCTTGTTCTTAAAAACCTGAATTCTAACAAATGAATGAAGATGAGTGCCCCTCTTTCCTTCACAGACCTACACCTGGCCCCTCTTCCTTTGGCTGCCCCAATTTAGCTTAGTCAATATAAACGGAAGGGCCAAAACATGTCAAAGTCATCATGAAACACAAATAAAATCCTGTAATGAAAAATATTAGACAACACTAAAACATGGTCTAGCTTCTTCTTTTTTTCCCTGCTTTTGGAAATCTACTTGAAAATCTATATTTGTACTATATTTGTACTGTATCTATACGTCTTATAGCCACATAACATTCTTTGCCATTTTGTTATGACTTATTTTTATTTTTTTCTTTCCACAGGAGCAAGTGTGTATAATTCTGTGTCCAGTTCTGTCAGTTCATTACTTTAAAAACAATTTATGTCAACAAGTTATGTATTTCAAAGCACCAAGCCTCTTGCCTCAGAATTTAAGCACTTTTCTGGTCACAGACAGTCATATTACTTGCTAAGAAAAATCTGTCATATTGATCCTCCTTGCTGTGATTGAAGTTGAAATATAATCTGAAGAGGCTAAGGAATGAATATGTCCTTATTGAGTTGCAAGTAGCAATTATGAACTGTCTTTCCTTGTTTGAGTAGAATATATTATCAGAAGAAAAAACTGAGACTTGTCCTCAAAGCAGCTAACATTAAAGTTTACTTCAAGGAAACAAACTTTCTCTGTTACCTGCTTCAGAGTGATGGTTGTAGCCTTCATTGCATTTAACTGCAGGTCTTTCAAGTTCAATTGACAAAACTGACATCAAAATGACAAAGAGAGTACTTTATCTATTTTGAGATGTAAGTAAGTTTTTTGGGGTTTTTTTTTTGTTCTTATAAAAAAGACATACTTTATGCTAAATGATCTCATAAATTCACTTTGTCTTATTCAGCTTTTGCTGTAATATTTTAAGCAAAGTGACATTTAAGGAGTCATATCTTACCTGCCAGAACAGATGAATTAGTTTAGAATGTACATTGAGCAGTTAATTTATAAATTTCAGTGCCTGTGTCACTGAAGAAAGTTGACTATCATCCAGAAGCTCTGTTCCCAGTATTAACCTGTACATGATGAAGTGTCTCATATTCTTAGCACATTAAGTTTCAGATATCATTCAACCTAATTCTCTTTTTCCTAACTTTTGTAAGGATGTTTATAGGCCTTAAAGTTATAGCTGTCAAAGTTCTCAGACATGCAGTGAATGGAAGAATAAAATGGAAATGTGTGGCTTGACTACAATTTTCAGTCACTTGCACTGTTTACAGTAAGGATGCTGTGGCAGCTGGTGGGTCTAGGTCAGAAAGAACAATAGGAAAAAATGTTTAATTTTGCATACAAATTCCATAGATAGGAAGTGCTTTTATTTATCTGTCTTTTTACTCTGCCTTGTGGAATAGAAATTTGAAATTACTTTTACTTGAGTGGTCTCTACATCAATTTGTCTGCTATTTGGTAGTATAAACTCTGGAAGATAAATGAATTAGGGTCATGCCTGACGTTTTTCCTACTCAAGTGGGAGGGTTGAAGTATAATCTTGTCTATGTTCCAGATGTATTACATACATATATGTGTATCAGAAATGAGAAAAATAGTCACAGTAATCCCAAAATATTTCATAAGTCTTTCAAATATGGAGTGATATTTACGTGACACCATTTATTTGCTTTGGCTTACGCACAATAGTTGAGCTGTTTTATATGGTCTTCACCAACACAAAATAAAACATGTTTATTTTAAGCATTAAAGTTCAGCTGACTAGTAAAAACTCATTAAGATATCTGGAACATTATACTTCATTAAGATAGGTGTAGAAAATCTGATACTTCATGGAAGGGGCTACAGGCTTAATGGAGTGATTATTGAACTTCCTCATGAACTTACTCATCCTTATAAACTGTCATTTTTTCCCGGAAAAAAAAAAAAATGTTTCTTCCCAACGCACCTTTTGCATGACTTTGAAAATGTGTTAAGGACTACTAAATTCAGACCAAAAGTGATCATTTCATAACTGAGTCTTGTTTGCTGCCTCTTTCTTCCAATACATGTTTTGAAACTATGTTAAAGGTTCCTCCTTTTGTAAGTGGGAAAGGCTGTTTACACAGCCTTTCCCACTTACAAATTCCTCTGGAAATTATTGTTCCAGAGGAATAACTGCTTAAGATTTAAATGGTCAAAAAATGGCACAAATGCAAAAGTAAGAATTGAATGAGAACAGTAAAGACAAAAGTTCCATCAGAATTGCAAGTTATAAATTGTTAATGTTACACTAACAGGAGAATAAGTGCTCACCTTTGTAGTAAACCCAGTAAGAATTGTATTATTTTTCAGGATGTCTCTGATATATGTCAGTTTTCAAGGAAAAAGTGCCATGTTGGAGAGTATTATAAATAATTTTTTCCTAGGTTGTTAAAGTGAAAGGACTAGATACTCTACAGCATCGAGTTTTCATTTCATGGTAGCTGTCCCAAAGTGTTAATTTGTCATGTTAGGACAAATAAGACAGGTATCTAGTCTAGTATTTGTAAGAAAGATGGTGAAGGCCATTTGATTCCTATTGCTGGTATGTTTTTGGACCTGAATTGTCTTTTTGGCTACTTATTTCCCTTAGCTTCCCACAGTCCTCTCTACCCACTCATGCACTTGGTTATTTCAGGTGTGCTCAAAAATTGTAGTGTTATCAAAAGACAGAATGAATCACTGGACACTGAGCAGCAGGTGAATTTTTTTCACCGCAAGAGATGCAAAATCACTTAAAAACTGATGCTTTATTTTTCCACCTAAAAGTACTGAGTTTCATGTAGGAAAAAAAATGTTATTTTGTTCCCTAACTGAATATAATTTGCTATTGACTGACAGGAAACCTATCTACTGGGAAATAAACCTATCTTTTTTATCTTATTCTATGTTTTAGCCACACTACTTAATGGCAAAATCTTTTTTAGTATAATGAAATTATATACTAAATAGTCTGTAGTAATTAATTTTTTGGCAGTACATATTTTGAATGCCCCAACAGAGGTCACATTGTTAGGTCACAGAATAAATTAAAACTAGAACAGCACTATAATCAAATGACTTCAATATTGGCCTTCAACACAGTAATAATAAGTGACCAGGTTGCTGAGACTGTAGATTACTTGTGCAGTCTAAATGAAGGCAGATGAAATTTTCCAGCGCAAGGTGCCATCCATGTTTTGGTCTCTGAACACTGCAGGGAACTCTGGGAGTGCACCTGCCAGTCTTAAATAATTCATGCCAATCTGAACCTGCATGGAACCAATGTGTGCCAGGCCCTTTCTGTCATTATGAAATTCTCCATGCAACTGCTGGCAGTGCAGTGTTGGGGGTACCTCCCTTAATTTCTAAGGAGCCAGCTCAAGAATGAGAAGCTGCATTCTGTGCACAAAATCTGTGGTTAAATTGCCCAGGAAGTGTGTTCAGACAGCCATGGATAAACTACTTCTCCCTTTCAAGCCATCTGGTTTACAGCAAACACTGGTATTTCAGTGCTACAGTTAAAATTACTGTGTGAGGCCATTAAGAGATGACAAGCTGAGCAATAAGGCAGTAATTTGCATCAAAGACTGAAGAACTTTCATGACCTTGATTTTCCATAATACTACTTGGAACAAACTGAAAATAAAGCCCAGGCTGTGTGAAATAATTAAGAAAAAATGTGAAATAACAACAACAAAAAAAAAATTTAAAAAAATAGACCAAAACCACTATTGTGTTTTACTCAAATCTCTCTATAAAATGCTATTTGTTAATCATCCCATTTTTTGCGGTTCTTCTGAGAGGCTTTACATTCACACGCATTCACACTGAATTTCAAAATCAGTGCATTTGATTAAGTCATTTCAGATTTCCACCATTTGACAGCTTCTCTTTTGCTCTCTGTAGAAGATTTTTTTTCTGAATATTCCATAGCCGTATTAGTGGGAAACTGCTTCTATTTCAAGGTGTGTAAAGGCCAGTCTGTAGATGCTCAGAAAGCTGGGATGGGTTCTGGCTTTTTAAAGGTAAGTTGCAAACAAAGGGAGATGTATTGCTTATGACATTGACTGTACAGCCTGTTTAATGTATCATTTTTTTTTTTTTTTACTGTAGAGGGGTTTTTTTCTGAATAATTTTTTTTATTGTCTGCATGTGTACCATACTATCTGGAGTTGACTGACTGCTCTTAAATTCTGTTTGTCTCAGAAAAATAAAGAAGCTTGAAGATAGTTAGAGACTCTAATTTTTAAACTGATCAGAAGCAATTCTGCTTATTATAGCCCTGATGCTGTATGTCACTTTTCAGTACTGGAACTGATGTTTCCAATGTTAGCAATGTTTTCTTTATATATATTTTGGGTTTTTTAAAAATTTTATTTCATTTGAGTCCTGTGCATTTAAAAACTTTCATGTTGTAGTGAAGTCTATCTTTTGTAATACTTATTTAGAAGCTGGTTTTCTAGTATCTGGGGGTGGAATCAACTTAGTATACTGTCTTTATAAATCTAATTAACTGCTTGTCTGCTTGATGTGTACAATTACCAGGCTGATTCTATTTGTGAGAACCACAGTGGCCATTAGGTTTTATGTTGTACTTTGTCTTCAGACTTCTTCTTCACATAGATCTAAGATACTTTTCTTCCAGTTTCAATTGCTGCATCTCTGCTGTTGATTCCTGTTTAGTGTACATGAAGTCAGGAACAGCTTTTATTTTCCCCAAGATTCCAGTCTTTCCTCTTAAACTGCAAACACCTGCTCCTAAGTGAGGTTTTATAAACTGAGGGAACTGAGGGGAAGAGTGAATTTTGTGATAGTTATTACTGGAATGCACATTGCTGCAAAGTTCTTTTTATTTATTTATTAATTCACTTATTATTTATTTATTTTATTATTATGTTGAATGGAATATAACAAGATTTTTTGATGGCTCCACATAATTCTGAGGGTTTTCAACATTGTTTTTTAATTTTTATTTTAAATTAAACTGAGAATCACTGAATTTGGACATCTGTAATACATAATTTAGGCTAGTAACTGACCAGCCAACCAACCTGGTTTTCAGGCAGAAGTCTATTTTGAGCTGTTCATTGATGTGTTTGACAATTGCATGTTCAAAAACAAACCTTTTATACTTGCTGGTGACGAGAGGTAACAAGGGAATGGTTCTCCACACAATAATTATTTGGAAAAATATCTTCCACTCATCTTCTAGCAAGAGTCGCATTTAAATATTTGACTGTGACATTAGGATACCGTTGAATAAACAATGTATGAAGCAATTAAATTATGGTGCCTGAATGTGAACATCAGTCCTATCTACTCAGTCAGCTGTCTTTTTCTAGGCTGAAGAAGCTTCTATGATTTTATTTTTGAATGCACAGTGTCTCCTGATATCAAAAGACAAAAACTCTTGCAACAGTATTAAAATGGTAAGATTAAAAAGCAGTTATTTATTGGAAGCTCCCAGGTGCCTCCCTAGTTATGGTCTGTGGGCACACATGACACTGGATTTCTACAGCCTTTATAAGTTTAACAAATTCGGGTATTTAACAAATATTGTCCAATTAGCACAGCACTTGGTTACATAATTTTCCCCTGGGTATTGCCCCACTGGAGTTGGCCCGGGGCTTCTTTGCCTCACTTCTTGTGTCTTCTCAGATTCTGGCTTCGAAACAACATGCTCTTCTTGTAGGTTCTCTTCTTGAAAATAAGACTAAACACTATTTCAGGAATGTGTTAGAAGGCTAGCTTATTACTCTAAAGTCTAAGAGAAAGGATAGGAAAAATACCAGCAGCTATATAACTCCATATTAATAATCTACAGAGCTACAAATATATGAAAAATATGTAAAAGCTGAAATCTTTAGGCATCAACAGAATCTCTTCCAACTTTAGCTATCTTTTTCCACTCTTTTCTAAGCTTTATCCCCTCTGCTGCATCCTTTTGAAAGGTGGGAAGAGAATATTCCCAGTTTACAGTTTGCAGCCACTGGAAACTTAAGCAAGCCCATAATGATATTCTATCTGTTACAAAGTTCCTTCCTAATTGTCCCTAAAACCTGAATTACTTCTTAGACCACTGCTGGATCCTGAGTTGATATTTCCATGAATATCAAGGGCCATCTAAGAGATCATAGTCTTATTTCAGGGTAACATGACTTGGTGTTTTGGGGTGTGAATGTTTCTTTCACATTTAGGTATTTAATGTTCTACTGAATCCTACGGAAGTTCTTTGCAGCTCTTCAGGGATGATTTGTATTGTCCCTCTTTTGAACTACTTTATCATTAGTCATAATCTTACTCTTCACCTTTCTCAGTTTCTTTACAGTCTATACAACAGCACTGATCCTAGCATAAATTTGTAACTCTACTGGTGATCCTCTCTATGGTGAAACAAACAGTTTACTCTCACTTTCTCTGTTTTTTTAATCCATTTTTATCCAATTTTTTAATCAATTACTTATCCATGCAGGTTCCTTTCTTCACAGGCCAGAGGCCCTTTACTTCCTAAAAAACACTCAATGAAAGCTCTCAAGTACAGTCTCATAAATTGTCTGCCTTTCATAATTTTGATGTTCATTATTCCTAGACTTGCTGAAATTTGCAGAGGGATCCAGTGATTCTGTGACAAATTATTATTATCCTTTTATACAAAAACTCATGTTCTCATCCCAAAATAAAACTTTTAGTCAGGTGACCAGACTTCTGGTCTTTTCATTTATACCTTCTATTACGATTTTCCCACTGAGCTTGTCGGGCTTAGAAACGTAGAGGTTCTTGAGCCTCTTTGACTATTTTACAGTTCTGTGCTCTGAAAGGGAAGAGGTTAGGTGTTAAGCTATTTCATTTTTAAGATCCCTAGGTGATAACCACCTGGCCTTGGCAGTTTGTTTCCTTTTATTGATTTCTTCTACAACCTCTCTTGCCACCACTTCATCTTCTATTCTGCCCCTGCTCATAGGGAAAAGCTCAGCAAGAACAAATACAGAAAAGTCCATTTCTGGTATGTATTTTCTTCTTACACAGCAGCTTTTATATTGGGATTTTTTACTACTCTTCCAGGTTATTTGGTATGCTTCCCTAGTAATTACTCATCTTTTGGCTCATGTAGCAACTGGAAAATGTGTAAACTTACCCAGAAATAAAAGAAACTTTAAACAGCCTCTGACATTTTATTCCAGGAAGGTGTAAGAACCATGAACAATGCACAGCTCTAATCTCTCCACTCTCCATAGTGACTTTAGTCTTACTGATTTAAGGTACAAATAAAAGATTCTATATAGAGGTCTGAGAAGTTTATTTTGCATATGTTGTGGTTGAACTCTAGCTGGAAGCTAAGTACCTCTCAGATGCTTGTTCACTTCCCCCACCCTCACCCATGCTGGGATGGGGAAGAGACTCAGAAAAAGATAAAACACATAGGTTGGCATAAGAACAGTTTATCAATAAAAATATCAAAAGCAGGAGCAGCAATAATAATAACAAGACAAAATAAGAGTTTTAAATAGTGTTTTTATTGAAGCACTTTGGATAATATTCTGTATATGTTTAACAATAAATAAATTATTCTTTTTGTGTGTGACTTGGAGTATGTCTGCATAAGGAATTCTTGGGAAAAAATATTTTAAGTTTAAAAAAAAACAAAAGGAAGCTAACAGAGGTGACAGTATTAACTAACAGAAGCTTTTTCATCTTGCAGGAAATCCTATTAAAACATAAGAAGAAAAAAAACCCAAACAACCCTGGTCAAATACTGGCAGGGCTTTCTCAGTAAGGTTTTGGGATCTCCCTCCTTGGATATATTCATAGCCTGAATGGACATGGTGCTGATCAACCTGCTCTGGATGATCAACTTCTCGCTAACAGGATTTGACTGGATAATCTCCAGAGATCCCTTCCAATCTCAACCATTGTGTGTTTCTGTAGCAGAAAGTGAGATTACATTTCTTACTACAGTAGGCACATTGTGTTGTTTGTCTGATTCCTGTTATAGGGACTCAGTTTCAAAATTAATTAGGAAAAGGAAATGCAATTAAATGTCTTATCAAGAGAATATATTTTCTGAAAATGAGAAGTCTAACAGAGCTTACAGCAAATCCATTATTAAACAAATTTTGAATCTATGTTTTAATTTGAAATCTAAAATATAATATTATTTTGACCAAAATCATGCAGAAGTCATGTTTGATATTTTATTTCAAACACTGTAAACAATATTATAGTTTTGGGCAAAAGCTTTCAATCTAGCATTTTTATGCATGTAGTGTATTTTGGTATGGAAATACAGAACCTGGTGTTATTTTCAGCCTTCGAGAAACCTGAAAGTTAGGTTCAAATATTTATTTAGGATTTATTTAATCAACTGAGGCTTTAAAATTATTTTTGCCTTCTCTTTTTTCACCTCAATAAATCACCATGGACAGTTTGTATTTTAATGTGCCTTTCTACCAGATCTGGATTTGTGGGGCTTTTTAAAAGGAGGAAGGGAGAAAAGTGCCTCTGAGAAGGAAGGCTAAGTGGATTAGTAATGATGAATGGTAGTTTTTCTTTAATGTTGTGCTATTTTGAAAGTAAAAGGAACAAGACAAGGGAACTAACATGAAACTGAAATAAGATAAAAGTTTATAACAAAAACAGTGCAAAAATTGAGATTTTAGTTTTTTTAGGTTTACAGACAATTTTTTTTTTACCAACCTTGGTCATAACTGATGGTGGACATTTTTTTTCTTCTGTTGTAGTGTCTGAAATGCACTTTTCTATTCAATTGATGCTTTATGTGCACCCTCTGCCCTTACACAAACTGAAGTATTGAATTAAAAGCTTTGAGTATTGTCAAGTTCTAATGGCATGGCAGGAAACATTTTCTTCTTTTGCAATCATGATATTTTTGTTACAGTGATAATGAATGCTTCTCCTGAGAGATATTCAAAATTCAAATCAGAAGAATAAAAACTTGAAATCTTGTAATTCATAATTTAAACCACTTTGGCCATAAATATTAGGCAAAGGCTTTAAACTTGAATAATTTAAATTCCAATTGAACTACGGAATTTGATTTGTTACCATAGTAGGCAGAGCATATTTGAGTGGTTTCTATAGTTTTGCTTTAGATAATGGTGATATGCTTCATTTTTCCCCCAAGCAATGGGAAATTTTTGAACTCCTTGATTAGCTGAGTAGGTGTCTATAATAAAATAAAATGGTAGGTGTTAAGTGTATATTAAATGTATGACAATTAATGTGTAGGAGTGAAGTAGATTAAGATATGAAATTTGGAATTCTCTGATGTGGAAAAATATCTTATTCATCTGTACTGTCATCATAATAACATCAGAACTCAGCTGATGGTGATTTGTTTAAAAATAAAGACCAGTAAGTATTAAACTAAAATGTTTGAAGTAAAGTTCTAACATTCTCTCCATTTGCCATTTCTGTTCTTTAGACAAACTCTTGTGGGCAAGCTCTTGTTTGCTGCAAGGTAGTAGAAAAGACATGAAATGAAAGAAGAGAACACATCAGTGATCCTCTGCTGGGCTAAGAATCAGGTGAGAGTGCATCTGGTACCCAAGGAAATATTTCCTGTATGCTTCCTGAGTGCTTCCCTTGAGTATCCTGTTGATAAAGCGAACTCACTTGCTACAAGAGATTTTGGTAAAGGCACGAACCCACAAATCTGTTTGTTTCTAGAACTGATTTCATTTCTTTATGGCAGGCTGTTAATATATTAAGATGGACAGGATGTTGGTTTGGCTGTTAGTTCAGGACCAACAGACCTTTATTTTAAGAGCCTTAGAAGATATTTAGTGTCACATACATAATGGATTGTTATTTAAAGGTATTTCTTTACAATCTCAATCCTTAACTGAATTTTACCTAATTCTTGAGTTTACCTAATCCTTGACATATCCTGGAAAAGTTCAAACTTCACTTTAGAACCATGTAAAAATTGTTTGAGATGAAGTAAAGCAAAGAGCAAGCACAGTTAAAATCACAGGCATTTTGATATTTCTTGTTAGTTGCAGACAGAGTAGCAGTGTAGATAAATAATCATAAAATCTTTGGAAGTCGGCATTTTCCCGTATATTAGGCGCAAGTTTTGGCAGCAGGTTGGGCTTCAGAAATACGAGTTTTCTGAGGAAGGGAGAATAAAGACAAATGAGGGGCAGAAAAAAACAAGAAATGAAATGTCAAAATAACATCTTTGGGTGTTTGATGACCATTTCAGCAGCAGCTGTATCAGACTCCCTCTTTCAAGGCAACATGCTCCCAGTGTCAATATTCCATTCTGTAATGCTTTTCTGTTGCACGGGTAAAAGTTAAAGATAACACATTTCTTGCTTATTATGTCAATCAAATAATTTGCCTTACTGTCTCTCTTGTGGGATGATTATGACCAGTGATGAATCAATGGATTCTTTTCAAATTAAGCAGCTTTTTAAGAAACAATTAAATGGTAACCTTCACCTGGGAAGAAAGCAGAACATTTTCTGTACTGAAGAAAGGGTACTGAATGCTTTCAGAGGTGGCTTTCTCTTAATACAAATACATCAAGGAAATTACATTGGCTTCAGTGAGGCTGGAATCCCAGGGGAAGAGGGTGTCATATATTAAATTTTCTGCGAAAAAATACCACAAAACTAAAAAAACCTGAAAACCACCAAATACCAAACCATGGCCAGAAAATAAATAAAAACCAAAACATTACTCAAGTTTTTAAGCTACTGCTGGGAAAATTACTGTTTCAGCTTCCTCTTGTGTAGTTTTTGCAGCTCTATGAAGACAGTATTTGCTTTTCCATTCCTGAAAAGTAGGAATTCTGTCATTGAATGTGGGCAGCATTTTTGGTCGAAAGTCATCTGTTGAAAAATATGTACTTTAAACAAAAAACAGTCCTAGTTTATTCAATGCATGAAATGGAGGGAATAACAACTTTTTGCATTTGGGATTATTTAATTTTTCTGTCTTGGAAAGATGGCTGGAAAATAGGTTCATTATGGAAAGTTTATGAAAACAGCTGAAGATTTAGAAAATTTCTGTTATAATTCAGTCTTTAAAAATTAAGTTGATATGTTTACTATGATTAGTGGGTTTTTTGATGATAGTCCTTCCACGGAGGTGAAAAAAAAATCATTTAAGACCTTCCCATTCTACCAGGAAAGAACATAAAAGAGCCTGTAATGAAGCTAATGCTAGTTAACATTTCACATCAATATAGAATATAAAAATTTAAATATGAGAGGAATAAAGAGAACAGTGTTTAGTCAGTTATATATCCTCTTGACTAACAGCTAATTTGAAGGAAAATACTGCATCGAGACAGTTGCACTGTGACATTGATTTCTGGTAAAGCAGAAGAGATCCCAATTCCTCAAGTAGAAATTAGTTTGGGAAAAAAAAAATGCTTTTCAGATATTTGTGCCAGAGGAATTTTTAAAATTTGATTATAATTACAGCAACATAGCAAAAATAGATTAGTCACTGAGGGATCTTAGGTTTCTTGCAAAGATAATATTTCTCAAGTTAAAATTTTATTTTGCATTACTAATTTAGTAAAAATCTATTAAAACTGAGCATTCAGCATGGACTTTACTTTAAAAATGAATCAAGAATTTATGAACATTATTGTGACTATTGCTGCAGATAATGCTCTCCCAGACAGTTGCTAATGCAATGCAACATTCTTTAAAATTATTCAGTGCATACACTTCCCCAAAGCAGACATTCTGTGAAGTATATTTGTCTGCAATCTTTTAATAAGTCACACAACTAGTGAGAGTCTAATGATTTTGCATAAGCAAATGTGTGCATGGAAGGTAGCCATGCCAAAGATATTTGGTCTTGCTTAATACCAATTCTTCACCAGGAAAACCTGGGCTTCAAGCAGTGAAATGTAATGTGGCCTTTCTCAGCTGCCACTTGTAATCTACATTCCCTGATACATGTTGGTGTCCTCGGCAACAAAATTTTTCTTCAGGATTTATAGTCATGATGCACCCCCACATATGTGATGTGCTGACAAAGTGTTATGTTGGTGCTATTCAGCAAACAACAATCTTGCAAAATGTGCTGAAAATTCCCTATTGCTCTTAAAAGTGGGCTCTGCAGTGTCATTACTGTGTGGTACATGCTGCTTGTCAAGATGCGTGAAGAGGACAATGAGGACCACTGAGAAAAATGAGAAAAACCATAAACAAAAAATACTCTCTGATGAGAATATTGAATTGTGGTCTCCTAATCACAAGACTAATTAGCAAAAATCAAAATCTTGACAGTGAAAGTGCCTTAAATACAAATGGAGAACTGCCATGGATTAAGAATCAATCAGAGAGATGGCAGAATATCTCTGCAAAATGAAGAATGGTCTCTTGCCCAGGATACTTTCTGTGCCCAGGCAAGGAATTTGGAGCTTGTGAAGTCAGAAAGAGCAATATCAGTGATCTGGATTTACCTCCCACATAATGCATGATATAAAATGTCAAATATTAATTCCTGTTTGAAGATGAACATATTTGAAAAGTTTAAATTTCTAGACTTATTTCAAGAGTCTGCAGCAGTAGAAAAATTTGTAACAGTCACTGCCAGATTCAGGATTTTATGAGAAGAGGTTAACATAACTATTTAAATCTGCCTTTGCTATCTCTTGATTCATTTGTTAGATCCTTTTGTTGGAAACATGTCTCTCCCTTCACTTGAGTTTGCACCTGAAGCTTCTTACTGACTCTATGTCTTGGAAAACAGAGTTTGTTTTTCCTTTTCTTTTTCTATTTGACCTCCGATTAAAAGCAGGCTATTTTGATCTCTACATCTAATTGCAAAAGAAAACATCAAAATGACACATTATTTTTGGTTAATACCTCATACAATTTTTATATTCTCTGATAATACATGAATAGCTATTCATCTATCCATTAATGCTGGAAATCAGGTTTGAACATCAAATGAACCATTTGCTCTTTCCTAATTAAAATTTCTAGACAAATGCTACCAAAAAACTTTCTTGAAATTTTGTTTACATGGAATTAAAAAACATTACACCCAGAGCTGCTTGAAAATATTTTTAGTTGTAAGTATAATCACTAGATTTTAGACATTTTAAGTAGACTTAGCCATTAGATTTAGACATTTTTAGTAGATTTTAATCAGTAGACTTTAGATTTTTACTGTAGAGTGCGATGAGTATCAAAATATTGTAAACATACTTGCCTTTAATTAATTCTTTCAAATACAACATCAGCAGAGAAGGGCATACATTTCTGTCAGAAATACCAGAAGAAAAAAAATTATATTTTTAAAGAATGACAGTGATTTAGCACACTTTTAATTTATTAATATGAATAATAGAAATCTTAAGGTTCACTTAGACGTGTCATTTTTCTGACAAATAATAAATCCTTAGGGTATAAATCTACTCATATCTGGAGTAGAGTAGCATTTATGGCTAATATTAGCATTTATGGCTAATATTAAGCCTTTAAGAGTTAGAGGGGCACAGTAGGAAAAGTGGTGGAGATGTATACATTTTAATCATATACATTTAAATTGTAAGAAATTAGTACAGAAAAAAATAACATTCTTGCAATAGAAAGAATAAAAACAGATGAGAAAAAACTAAGTTCTTTGATGCTATTGCAAAAATATATTTTATAAGTAGTTTGGGGTCTGAATTTCAGGCATAATTAATTCAGAATATGTATTCAGATGAAGATTAGAGAAAATATTTAAAAGAATTGTAAAGAATTGGAATATTTTAGACTTTCTTAGATTTTTCTTATGAAGCCACATAGAGATCTATGCTAATTTATTGTGCTTTGACATCACTGCATGTGAAAAAAAAGAGGCAGAAAAATATTTGAGGTTATTCAGGTCCTGATTTCTCTTTTTTCTTTCTTTTAAGGATATATATCTGAAATCAACACATAGGTATTGTTATACTGAGTGAAAGAAATATACTAAATTTTTTTACCCCTGACCTGCAAGAAATGGCTGAGAAGCTGTTCTGCAGAATTCCGTATTTTTTGGGTACCCCTGGGACTGCTTAGCAGACATTTTGACATAAAGGTCAGGAAAGTTCTCATTCATTGTATATTAAGCAAATATTTAATATGTAGTCTTTTGTGATGAAAATAGATTTAATTCCTCTTTAATCCTAACTTAGTCAGTCTTTCTAAGCCTTTGCATGCTACTTACAGAAGACAGCTTATGATTTTTATTTCTTTTAAAATTATTATTCTACTCTATCTCTCTGGCAGTTCAGAATCGGGATTATTAGTGCATATGAAGTGGAAGTGATCTTTTGATTCTAGTTTTCCAGCAATATGTCATTTAGCCCACTTCTTAAACTTAGAAATTCCAAGGAGCTGTCAGCTTTCTGCATTCCATTTACTCCTGCCTTTCTAGGTGAGAGGTTGCGTATATTCCTTCTGTGCTGAGACCTATTTCTGCCATATTTCTGTAGTAATCCTTTCCTGTCACCTTTTGTGTCTCCTGGTGAAAACAGTCCTGTTCTGGTCTTCACTTACTGGATAAGATTTCCATTTTCCATATTTCTCTTTGATGAACATGCATACCCACAGCTGATATTCCTGGACCTGATATTCCAAATAAAACTCTCTAAGAACTGCTGCACTTAGTAATTCTTGCTCTCTGATGAAAATATTTCTCCTAACATTAGGATTATATTTGTCTTTGCAACTGCACCA